TGCTGTATTAATTGATGAAAACTTAGTTAGCCTTTAACATTGCTCTCGCAACTGATGTGTAGGAAAATAAACATAACATTATTATGTATCTATTTCTGTTGTGAGTGATATGCAGGCCTATTTTGTAGTCACTTTGATTAAATATTATATTTGAATATCGAAACCTTTTTGTCACAGCGAACACAACACAACACTACTACAGCGTTCTATAATACACTTATGAAATATAATATATGTTTCCCGACCGTGAAGTCATTAACAAGAATTATGCATTTTCTGCAGTCACTTGTGAATTGAACTAAATGAAGGTTCGTCTGATTAATGAGTATCGAGGAAATTATGTTCATCCATAAATTAGACGCAGCTTCAAGTTTTTCAAGACATCTTTCCGGAATATGCGTCTGTGAAGGCGTTCAGATAATGACGATATTGCACAGTATTATTCATGAGATTCTTGTCAAAAGTAAGGTAGGATAATAGATCGATTTTATTCAGCAGTGTTGGCCCTGGGGCCTATAGTACGATTAAAGTTTGATTACTTGCACGTGGTGCTAGTAACATATTAAGTTTCTATTGGTATTGAATGCTTATTTCAGATAAAAGCTATGGTATTAATTACACAACATCTATATTGTTTGATGTTAAAAGATTTGGCAATGTGTGTTCATAAATTACAATTTTTGACAGACTTGGCAAATAATTAATAAATGATATTGATAGCATCTTCACGACTTGGCCATACAGTTATGACAATTTAAGGAGTGAAAAGTGAGCGATAGGTCTTGTGGGAATTCAAAGATTCATTAAGACTATAGCCGTCTAAGCGTAACTCTGTGTGTAATATTTATACATTTTCTATCCACGGACAACATGCTTCTAATATTAATATTATTTTCATGGATTCATCATATTTTATCTATAGCTGTGCTATAGTTTTTCATTAAAATGTGGGGCGGTGGGGTAGCCTAATGGTTAAAGCGTTGGCTCGTCACGCCGAAGACCCGGGTTCAAATCCCCAGATGAGCACAATGTGTGAAGCCCATTTCTGGTGTCCCCCGCCGTGATGTTGCTGGAATATTGCTAAAAGCGGCGTAAAACCAAACTCAGTCAGTCAGTCAGTCATTAAAATGTCTTTTCTGTTGCTGGAATTGAAGTAAGTCCCACACAGAGCTGGGATCATATGTCTTTGAAATATAAATTATGCAAACGGCTGGAACCTTGTGTTCCAATACAAAACGCTCGTAACGCTACGACATTCGCATGCCTATGATAAACTATAGAGTTGGCCTCAACCATTGACTGGATTACATTCTCTTCGTCAGCAGAGAAATTTCGACTTCTCTTTTTCCTTGGGGTGCAGGCGACATTTTGCGTTTCCATTTTTGGTAAACCGGAAGTAAACAGAAAACGGAACTATGGGATATATGGAAGCTAACCAGTGACGTTAACCACACTGTTAAACTTTGACGGCGACGTTAGCTAACGGCATGACTAACCATGTTTTGAACAACGCATATTTAACGTTCGGTTACCTAACAGTCGGTTAAGGATTTAACCGGCCGTTAGGAGTTAACCGGCAGTTAAGATAACCGAGTATTGAACAACCGGGCCCAGATAGATAGTTAGTTAACCAACTAAGTACGTTTCCACGAACACCTTCATTTTCTAATATGTGCAATAAACCTTTATGCCATGCCCTGTAAAAAGCTTTTGAAATATCACAAAACAGCATACAGGAACGGTGGTGATTATCTAGGACTGAGCATATATTATGATAAATGTCTATGTTGAGATGTAGTAGAATGACTAGCAGTAAAACCTGACTGGAATTTACTTAAAATGTTATGTTCATGGAAATGGCTTTACCATTATTCTTTCAGGATTTTCCAAAGGATAGGTATTAAACTAATAGGACTGTAATTAGTTGGGAGGGATGCATTTCCTTCTTTCAAAATAGGAGTAACATTACCCGTTTTCCACAATGTAGGAAATACAGTCACTCAGTGATATATTATACAGCAAACAAAGAGGTTCAGCTATAGATGTACAAATTCGTTTTAACACTCTCATGTTAATACCATCAGGTCCACTAGATTTGTTTGCTGGTAAGGTCTTATCAGATACCTCCTTTTCGGTTACAATGACATTTGTTATACTGTTAACACAGCGATGGCTAACAGGTGGCAAAGTCTTGCCGACATCAGTAACATTAGAAACAGATACAAAATATTCATTTAATGTTTGAGCTTTATCCAAATCTGTAAAAACTGAAGGTATCCCAGAATCATCAGTGACAAGAAGGGGAATGGGTCCCGATGAAGTAGTAACCACCTGATTGAGTAGACTGAGGTGATAAATAGTTATCAAAAATAGTTTAAAAGTTTCCCTTGGCTATTCTTTTCAGATTATTTACTTTATTCCTTTGCTTTTTGTATTTAAATAGCTCAGAAGTATTCAGAGATCGAATGCTTTTTTTCTTAGACGTTCTCATTTCTTTTAAGTATGTTACGAGGGGCGTTGAAAAAGTAGTCAAACTAACTATATTCTCGATGTCCAATGTTTGAAAAAAAGCTTCCATTTTATTATGAAGGAATCATTAGCAAAGTCATATCCAAAATTTCATGTGGGTAATGTGGTTAACGAGATATTAGTCATCACAACATTGGGGTATTATGTTTCTTGCAAATTTGCAGAAAATGGAAAACGATCTCCCATTTGGTATCTAGTAATAGTAATAGTCCGCTTATATGGCGCTCACATCCAGGCACATTGCCTGCTCACGGCGCTACGTACATTACTATCCCCGATCATAGGACACTATCGTAGTTTCCGATACTTTTTCAACTCCCTGGGGACTGTACAGCCATGCTGCCTGTTAGGCGCAATGAACTAAACACTCACATTGCCAGCACATACTCACGGGTAACCATTTTACAGCTGGGTGAACTGAGACAGTGTAGATCTAAGTATCTTGTCCAAGGATACTACGCAAATGTGCCCATCTCGGGAACCGAACCTCGGTACCGCCTCGAAAGTGGGGCCTTCAGCGTGATAGGCAGACGCCTTACAATTGCACTATTGCGCTATCTCTTGGATAATGGTATACCCACAGGTAGTATCATATAAAATATGTTCAGCATAGTATTGGATGACTTCCCGTCATCATCAACATTCAAAGATTTGGATTGCTTGATTTACATTTAGACGGGTACTGTTTTATTTAGGACACCCTCATTTTAAATTTTCAAAAACATTTTGTCCAGATATACAACATATTGAGAGCTGACACTTGTGTGACCATTCAGTATTTAGTTTGAACCCTTGACACTATGTATGAATAAGTGAAAACTTTAGGATGAGTTATATCCTTATGATGACGTCAACTGAAAGGGGGTGGGTAGTGTCTCCAAAACAAGCCCTTTCAGTAAACATGAAGGGGGAGTCACTTGAACAAGCGATTATAGTTTAAAATTGCTTTTTTGTGCAGTTTAATATCTAAGTTTGACTTTTACCAACATACAACATGTTTTTTGCATATTTTGTTTCAATTGGTGTAGGGGGATTCCCGCCAATACACCTTGATATAAAATTGGATCAAAATCTATTAATACTTTCCTAATTTCGCGGCTACCAAGCTTGGCATGTGCAAAACTGTTACACCTTCGCTGTGACCTTTAAAATGACCTCAATGTCACTAAATTCAAGTGGTGTCGGTAAATCTCGCCAATAAACCTTGGTACCAAATTTGAACAAAATCCATCATTTCTTACTCGAGTTCTTTCAGTAAACCGAAGGGGGAGTCATTTGAACAAGCGATTGTAGTTTCAAATTGCCTTTTGTGCAGTTTAATATCTCAGTTTGAATCTAGCCGACTTCTACCAATCTCAAACATACAAAAATGTTTCTTGCATATTTTGTTTCCTGAAGTTTAATTTGTGATGCATTTCATTGCTAGTCAGCTAGGCTATTCCATTTGTCCGAACCACAACATACGGAGACAGATCATTTAGCAGACCGGGTGCTGTACTCTGGAATTGATTACCTGAAAATGTCAGAAAATCGGAAAATATCAACAGTTTCCGATCTTGTCGCAAAACCATCCTCTTCAAACGAGCATTTGACTAAGCGCACATGAGCAGGACTCTGGATATGTAGCGCTATACAAATGTCTAATTTGATTTGATTTGATTTGATATACCCGTTAGAAACCCACCCCACCCCACCCCACTTTATATTTATACATATCAAAACCTCAAATGATATTTGCGAAAAGACATGATACAGAGGACAGTAAGAGATCTTATATCGATTATATATCAGGACAAATATCATTTTCGTCATTTAGCTAAGATTTGTCAATTCTTTCTTTGGTTATCGCGCTAACAATCTTTATATTGGCAAAACCCTCAGATTTTTGCTGTGACCTTGAAAATTATCTCAAGGTCACTCAATTTCACTTGTGTCGGTGAATCTCGCCAATATACCTTAGTACCAAATTTGAACAAAATCCATAATTTCTTTCTTGAGTTATCGCCCTAACAAGCTTATTTGATGTATGAAATGCAACGAAAAACAAACACCCGCGTATTTACGAGTGATTAAAACTGTTATTACAATTTACGTAAATATTTATTACATTTTACCGCAACGAAAATTATTACAATTTACGTCAATTTTTATTACAATTTGCGTATTACAATTTACGTCAATTTTTATAACAATTTACGTTTGTATTACAATTTACGTCGTAACACAGCCGCATATACACATACACACGCATGCACGTCGTCATTTGAGCGAAATATTCTCAAGCACGACGTTAAATCCAATTTCACCTCACCTTACGACAAGCATGGGTCGCTGAAGACCAATTCTAGCCCGAAAATTCACGGGTCTTATCGCATTAAGCATGCTTTAGGGGAGGGATTTGGGACATTACAACAAAACGCATTGTTAGTGGATGTGTAATGGGTGTTCCCACAATCATAAGGAGTACTTACAAAAACCATAAGTTTGGCATTTGTGCCAATCCACTTCCAGGGAACTGACGAATCTTGTTTCTACTGAGGGCTCTGAAATATTTATAGAACAATATATTAATGTTTTAAGGACAACTCACAACTATCCATACTTGAATACAGGAGAATAATATTATAGATTAAAATCGACCTCAAATTACATATAGGTAAAATGGACTGTGTGGTGATTTTCGTACTGTGAACCGATATTAATCAAAACTCACAGTGTATTTCTAAAACAGTCAGCTGATAATTTATAGTTTATACTCTTTGCCAAATATCCAGCTTGAGTTTCATATTATAATTATTCTGTCTACATTCGTTCATGCGTACTTCACGCACATATGATGTGATAGCTTATCATTTAAGCCAAACTGGCGATGTATCAAAATGAATTGTCATACAGACCCTCCTCGTGTTGAAGAAAGAAAGAAATGTTTTGTTAAACTTTTTGTTGCAAAGGTTTAGGTGCAAAATACTTTATTTACAAAATCGAGATACTTACAATACCTCGATATTGGTGTTTTTCACAAACTCGTCCGGGAACCATTCGATCTCGTTACCTATAAGTGACCTAGAGTACAGAAAGACTATAAAGAAAGGAATATAACAGCAACAATATCACTTTACACGTTATTTACCGCCTCCTGGTGTAGAGCGTCCGCAAGCAGTACGGATGGTCGTGTTTCGAATGAGTGATTGAGTGAGTTTAGTTTTACGCCACACTCAGCAATATTCCAGCTATATGGTGGCGTTCTGTCAATAATCGAGTCTGGACCAGACAATCCAGTGATCAATACCATGAGCATCGATCTTCGCACCTGTGATACGATGACATGTGTCAACCAAGTCAGCGAGCCTGACCACCGATCCCGTTAGTCGCCTCTTACGACACGCATGGGGTACTGAAGGTCAATTCTAACCCGGACCTTAACGTGGTATTTCTACAAATAGTGTGTGCAGTTGATAGATGTATGTCATCATGTGTCATAGCGTGACATCGTACGTGACGGCATGGTACGTTGCTTACAATATTAATCACTCGATTGTCTGATCCAGATCCACTGTTTACAGCCTGCTGTCATAAAACGGAAATATTCCTGACACAATAACCAAATATTTGATGATTTTAAATAAAAAACATTATTAAACGAATTTATGATATACTTACACTTTCCGCAGCTGAGGTGGCAATGTTTGTTTTGTGTAGTTGTGAGGAAAGAATCTGATCTTGTTGTTGACCAAATATCTGGAACACGTAGACAATGTTCAAAACAAAACACATGGAATTCGGTGTACCGATTCGCTTAGGTAGTTTATAGATGACTATCAGGACCAATTAATGGTCAATGCCATGGAACGAATATCTGCCGTAACAAAATGGTTTGTAAAATTTAAATGTTACACGTTCAAGAAACGTGTATGTTGCCGACAGACTTGAAAACATGATCAGGGGTCCGGGGATTCGTCTGGGATTCGAATCCACGATACGTCAAAGGGACGCAACTGCACAGCGGTGGCGGAAAACAAATATATTTGCAACATTCCAAAGTGAATGGAAAGGAATTCAATGAAACAGTATTGTCTTTGTTCATATTCGTACAGATTATTTAATGTTTGGTTAACAGAAGCCTTGATTAACAGCCACAGGGTAAACGTATTTAGCTATAACTCGCTTTGGAAATAGGGATTAAAACGTTGTATGGCACTCACAGCTCCTCCATGGATGTCTTGCTGATATCAGGAACTAATCTGATGCCGGTACCATATATCTGTCTGGAATGGTATTTATGATATATAGTTAGACAGAATATTGGGTAACATGTGTATATTGTACGGAAATTGTCACAGATTCTGCACAACTGTTCTAAATATCGTCTTTAAGGAATACACACATAAGGAGTTATCTGTTTCGACAATACCATACATATTTTAGACAAAACTTTAGTCTAAAGGTGTCGTCGTTTCCATAGTTATCGGATCGTGATACCAACGTTTATCGATGTGGTTCATTGCATCGACTTTTGCATCTAATACAGTGATAAATCAGATTGTTAGAGTAATAGGGAAACGTATATCAACAAACATATGTTGGAGCGAACGTATTAGAATTAGCTAACGTCTCCAAGCGTACATACAATAGCCTCAGGTTTGTTGCCTTGTAGAATGTTATGTTTTCCACTTCCACCAGATTTGGCATGTCGATGAGATGTCTGAAAATAATAGTTGTGTCGTTAGATGAGGAGATAAATTACATAATACGTTTATGAATATGTTCTAGATTATATTTCAGATGAAATGTGCGTCTATTATTTGTATGTATGTATGTATGTATGTATGTATGTATGTATGTATGTATGTATGTATGTATGTATGTATGTATGTATGTATGTATGTATGTATGTATGTATGTATGTATGTATGGATGGATGGATGGATGGTGTGTGGGCGTGGGCGTGGGTGGGTGTGTGTGTAGGCGTTGGCGTGGGCGTGGGCGGGTGGGTGTGGGTTTGAGGGATCGTGTGAATATTTCAGAAACTTCTTCTTATATATGTACTATTGTACGCTATATATATATATATGTGTGTGTGTGTGTGTGTGTGTGTGTGTGTGTGTGTGTGTGTGTGTGTGTGTGTGTGTGTGTGTGTGTGTGTGTGTGTGTGTGTGTGTGTGTGTGTGTGTGTGTGTGTGTGTGTGTGTGTGTGTGCTAAGGTATATTCTTTCCTGGAATTCCAACGAGTTAAATAGATAAGAGATGTTGGCTCATAAATACACATATTACTATGTACATGATCTGATTGCCTGCGATTGTAGCTTTAATCAGGAGAGTAAATAAGACGATGCCTATCGATATAATGCTATGC